ACTTTCAAAGAAGTAAAGTGCTGCCTTCTATGGTGGAGGGGGAGCACTTCACTTGTTTCTCTTCTGGGGTGTTTACAAAACAAGCTGGCTTCTGATGTGCACCTCCATCACTGGGCCATAGTAGCACCCAGTGAGACTGGATCAACGCTTTTGGCTCAAAGTAAGAGAAAAATGAAATGCCTTCTACCTTTCATAGATGGCCATTGAGTAAAATAGCTTGATGGAATAATCCAAGCAAGGGCCCCAGAGAGGAAGCTCTGAAAAGAATTGGGAGCTTCTGAGCATAGCAAAGCAGTAGGAAAATGATCTAAATGAGTGAAAGAGGGAACTTAGAAGGAAAGTATTGCTGTAAATGAATTTTGTGGAGGAGAGATTTGGGGAAATTAGGAATATGACAATTTAGCGATTTTTCATCTGTTGTTTTGACTTCTGAGGTGAAAAAAGAAACCTCATTTAGTGACACCATCTACCTGAAACTCTTCCCTCCAAAATAATAGGAAAGGAAGCAAAACTTCTAAAATTCTCTAAAAATTTTTTTCTAATGTTGCAAAGGTGATTTTAAGCTTCAGGCATCCTTCAAAGCCTTGCACTAATTTTTATTGATAATTGTGTGTGTGTTTGTGTGACCCTAGATCTGCCAGGCTTTGTTGTCCGAATCAGCAGGCACACACAGAGCTCTAAGAGAAGCCTTTCTCAGTACCTCTGGACTTGACTCTTGTTTCCCCTAAAACACGTTCTCCTTCTCCAGGTTGCTCAGTTAATATCCTTTAGATTTCAATTCAGATATTTGCTCCCATCCATATAGTGTCAGAGCAGCCTCATTTTTTTTTTTTTTTTAAAGGTGCATCAGAGTTTAAGCTTCACAAGGGTAGGAACCGTGTCCCTTGTGCTCACCATTTTGTTCTCAGTGATCATAATAATGTCTGGCACCCAATAATTATCTATTGAATGAATTTGTGAGACCCATTTGTTCTTGCCTAGTTCATAGTTTTTATCCAGTGGGAAAATCTAAGGATGAGACTAGAAATATAAGTGCCCTCTGAGTGAAAAATGATAAAAATTTGGGGATAGTACCCTTTGTTTCATTTATCTTCCGCCACCAACTTTCTCAAGAGTTTCTGTGGGATGAAGAATAAAGTATTTAATGTATGGTGTTTGTAAAACTTTTATCTTCAAGGGACCTTAAGATTATGTAGTTCAATCATCATATATTTTTTTAAATTTTTATTTATTTATGATAGTCACACACACACACAGAGAGAGAGAGGGAGGCAGAGACACAGGCTGAGGGAGAAGCAGGCTCTATGCACCGGGAGCCCGATGTGGGATTTAATCCCGGGTCTCCAGGATCGTGCCCTGGGCCAAAGGCAGGCGCTAAACCACTGTGCCACCCAGGGATCCCCCAATCATCATGTTTTAAAGCTGAGAAAACAGGTTTATTGGATTGTACAGCTAAGTTGCTTATAGGTAATAAGAATTTCCTGGGCACTACTGCCTGACTTTCTGAAGATGCAGGTCTATTTGTAAGGACGTATATCTAAATATGTGTGTGTGTGTGTGTGTGTGTGTGTGTGTGTGTTTGTGTGTGTATGTGTGTATGTATATATACATGTGTGTATACATATACTTGTGTGTGTGTGTATATAGGCAAGTGGGAAAGGGATAGGGCTGCAGGTCATTGTCAGTTTTTTATTTTGGAAGTCCTTGAAGATAATAAAAATAAAGCAGAACTTATTGGTGAAAATGTGGGGAAAAAAAGATGGAGAGGACAGAGTGGATACAGTCATGGTATATTTAGTGAATTTGGAGATTTTCTTCCTCTTTTTAGAAAACTACTGCTTTCTCTGTATTGCTGACCCCATAGTGGGTACTATTATTATCACTACTACTTAACCTAATAGCGTCGAGTGCTTATTACATTACAAGCATTGTGCTAAGTGCTTTATGTACATAGAGCCCTGTAAGGTAGGTATTATACCAGTTAATTTTACTCATGAGCATAACAAGACCCCAGGGAGGTTAACTCAAGTCTTCACTCAGCTAGTACGTGCTGGAACCTTGATTTGGACCCAGGACTCCCAACTCCAAAGTTTCTGCATCTATACCAGGTATTGCAAACTGATACCTTATTTTTATTATAACATTGAAGGCCTTTGTGCTCAAGTTTTTGCTTCTTTTTCATTAGTTTGTCAAAACTTTTTAAGTTGAGCCCCTTTTAACTCCATTTGTAATTAAAATTGGTATCATATGCAAGTAAATTAAATTAGAAAAAAAACTCAGGTAAGTATTATAAGATAAACAATACTTTAAAATATGCTACACCCCATGTGGTAGATATGAGAAGATTTAGTTGAATAGTCTTCATTTTATGTTACTGAATTAATAATGTAATTTTTATAGTAGTTGTATATATGGATGTAAAATCCCTGGCAGAGTGCTTGGCATATGGTAGGTGATCTAGGCATGATAGTCATTTTTATTATTTTATTTTAGTTTCCACTTGACTTGTAACCTAGGTAGTATCTTTTACTTGCGGATGACATGCCAGTAAAATGCTTTAACTGCACCATTTCATAATCTGATACACTAGTCTCAGCAGTTACCAGCACACTGTCCTTATGTGGACTACTTCATTTTTGTTGTTATTCTCCTTTTGTAGATCTCCAGGATTTATGTGGGTAGAAGTATATTTTGGTAATTGAGGGCTGTGGCTCTCATTTCAGTATGCATTAGAATCACCTGGAGAGCTTATTAAAAGGCAGTTTGTGGGGCACTACCCCCACACTTTGTAATTCAGTAGGTGTGGGTGTGTCCGAGTCTTTGCATTTCTAACAGATCCCCACAGATGCTGCTGCTGCTATTCTACAGAAGTGGCGAGACTGCTAATGATCAGTGTTCTTTTATGAGTATTCACGTCCACTGAGTTACTGTATTGATAGTATTGATGCTGCTGAACTTACTGTGAAATAATATGGAGAAATTTGGTTTATGTAAGTGTAATTGTTCTTACTGCTTAAGGAAAAGCTATTTTTTTTAAAAGATTTTATGTATTTATTCATGAGAGACACACAGAGAGAGGCAGAGACACAGGCAGAGGAAGAAGGGGGGATTCTGATGTGGGACTCTACCCCAGGACCCCAAGATCATGACCTGAGCCAAAGGCACATGCTCAACCACTGAGCCACCCAGGTGTCTCAAGGAAAAGCTTCTAGAGGTTACTTTTGTTTTAGAGAATTTCAAAGTGTAGGTTTTAATGTATGTCTATTATTTATCTTTATTCAAGACATAAAAACACATGGGTTCAATTTTTAAGAATGTATTTTACGATTATATATATGTATTTTTAGTGATTTATTTATTTGATAGAGAGAGAGAGAATATGCAGGGAGGGGCAGAGGGAGAGAATCTTTAAGCAGAACCCTCCCCCCCTCTCCCGCAACCGGAGAGCCCTACTCGGGACTCCATCCCAGGACCCATGATCATGACCTGAGAGTCAGATGCTCACCTGACTGAGCCACCAGGCACCCCTCGGATTCTATTTTTAATTATAATTGATTATAATGGGGATCCCTGGGTGGCTCAACGGTTTGGCACCTGCCTTTGGCCCAGGGTGCGATCCTGGAGACCCGGGATCAAATCTCACGTCGGGCTCCCGGTGCATGGAGCCTGCTTCTCCCTCTGCCTGTGTCTCTGCCTCTCACTCTCTCTCTCTGTGTCTATCATGAATGAATAAATAAAAAATCTTTAAAAAAAATAATTGATTATAATGAAATTTGGTTGTAATTGACTTCTGAGAATTTCAGAGTATCTGGATGATATGGCAATTTAAAAATAGTAATAGAAATTTTTATTTTTAGTTCTTCTCAAGAATCTTTTAAAAACAAATGTGATAGACTAGTATTGAATTCAATTTGGTACTCATCATTCCCACTTACTTACAAAGTAGATTTCACTCAGAATTTTACTTATACCAACATAACAATTTTACCTTTTCTTCTTAAAGCATCACTTGTACCTTTGGGGATAAGATGGTGTAGAGGGGTTATTCTTCAAGAGAAGAAAAGGCTATCAGAAAATTTTGTCCATAAGATTAGACTAAAATGTATTCAGTGATTACTGAATGCCTTTATGTGCCAGGCATTATGGTGAAAATAGGTGCCAAAGTAATTTATCTTTTTCATACACAATCAGGGGTTTTAGTGGATTGTAACTTAATATGATGTAATTGTGTGATGAGGTTACTGATAAACCCAGTGCTGTCAGATGCTTCATTAATAGAATTAGTATTGTGTACAGATCTTGGGAGGTGAAGTTCTGCTGTCTTATTTTGCTAGACTATGTCCACAGTGTTACATTTGGTCTGGGGCTAAGGGACAAATTGGAGTCATTCCAGAAGTGAGGATCCCTGCTGTTCAAAGGTCTGGCCATTTTTGCAGATGAGGATTGTTGGAAAGTAGGAGTAATTTATCTTGAGGGAAGAGATCTTAATTATGTTTTTAGTTCCTTGCTGTAATGTAAGATCCCCGAGGACAGGGATCCATCCTTTCTTGTTCAGCATTTTGTCATCAGGGCCTTATGCAATGGCGGGTGTATATTCAACACACTGTTGGATGAGGCAATTTTGAGGGGAAGATGATGGTTAGTTTCAAATATTTGTCTTGTAGATAGCTTGTTAATTAGATTTACTGCTTGTATCTCCAGAGGACAAATGGAGGCACCAGGGATGGAATTTTTAGGTGGGCACATTTCAATTTTACATAAGAAGAACTTTGTAAAACTAGTTAAGCAAGTCCTATCAATAAACTTTTTTAGGGATTTGAATTCTGCCATTTTAAATGCTTGGGTAGAGGCTGTATGAGGCCTTAACTAGAAAATACACCTGCTTTTAATAAATATAGGTAAAGGTGATTTCCACTATTTCTCTTTTTATTTAAGTATTTTGTTAAATAATGACCAATAACATAGTTTTTCCCAAAGTTAGTCCTTTTTTGTCTTTTCAGACTAAAGCAAGGCAAAGAACTGGACCGGGAGAGGGCTTTTGCCAATGAGCAGTTAACCAGAGCTATTCTTCGAGAGAGGATATCAAGTGAAGAAGAACGAGCCAAGGCAAAGCACCTGGTGAGTATTAAAGATTTAATAGAAATGTCTTGTCTACAAGGAGATCACTGATGTTTGGGAAAAGCTAATGACCCCTTACCAGCTTTTAGTGTTGACAAAATGCATGGTCTTTCTCTTTGCTTAGATTTTCTTGTGTTTTTTTTTTTTTTTTTTGACAATTTGCAAAGATTAACCGTGAAGGACTTTTTAAAGCAGGTAACTAGAGAATTATTGCATTAAAGATCAACAGGGAGACACTGGCACAAGCATCTTGCCTGAAGGGATATTGCTTGTTTGCTCTCCCCACCCCTGCCCCTGCCCTGATTTTGATTTCATTGTATTTGAAACCTCTGGGGGCAAGCAGCCTATCTTGTTTCTCTTTCTGCTTGCAACCACCAGATTTTAGTCCAGGAAGTCTCCAGCAAAGGTGAGTAAGGTTTGATCAGTCACTTTCTGGGATTGATTGATTGATTGATTGGTTTTACTTTCTGGGCTTTAGAAAGGGAAAAATGCAGAGCAAAGACTTTGAGGGAATGATCTTCTTAAAGAAAGGGAATCTTTTTCTTTTTCTTTTTTTTTTTTTAAAGAACTATTCAAAAAAGATTTAAAAGCAAAGACTACATGAACATGTTTAAAAATGATTATTAATAGCAGGGAGAAAATTTAAAAGGCACGCCTAAATCTGTCATTCTTATATAACCATGATTTACACTGGGGTATGTTTCCTCTAGACAATTTTTATTTCCTAGGTCTATTACATACTTAGAATATATGAGAATTTGTATATATAAGAATGGATAAATATTTGAACAATGCTGCCTATAGCATTTAGCATCATGAACATTTTTCTTACATCAACGAATGTTCTTCTGAAATGGAATTTTTAATGGCTGAATAAAGTTCTGTTGTCTTTGTGCATCATAACGTAGCAAACGATTTTCCCGTTAGGTAAAAGTGGGGCTGCTCTGGTTGAAGCCTGGGGTCCTGACTACTTACCTTCCATTTCACCCTTCCTAAAAATCCACATCTACCTTCTCAAACCTTTAGTGTTCATTGGAGTGTAGTTAGTAATTCAGTGGAGAGGTAAAATGAGACTAGGTGATGTCCCCAGCTCAGCAGGCAATTAAAAATTGTTTAAAAATTGATAAGAAAAGTATCAGTTTTTGTTCTCTGGTATTTTCCCTTTCTTGGAGAGGTCATGTGCCATTAGAGAAAATAAAAGGAAGCCGATGTATAGTGAATCCATTTCTCCAAAAACTAATTCAAGGTCCAGACTGAATGGATAGACAGTGAAACCAGAACAAAGGTGATGGACCAAGAAAGAAATGTCCAGGGACAGGCTGTTTTGTAACTCTCTTCTTTCTCCATTCTAGGGTTATAGGATATAGATGGCAAATTACAATATCTCTCAGATTTCAGCACCTATCATAATATTAGCCAAATAGAGCCCTTATAGCACTTTGAGAATAAAAGTAGAATTTATGCAATAGGATTGTAGTTGATCTGTCCTGGCTTGCATGTTCTTAGACGTTTGAGTGGTAGTTCATGATCAAAGCAACATGACTGCCCACAGTATAATTTAGGTACCTGATGATTCCCAACTTACATACAAGATTAACCCCCTGTATTGTTATTATTCATTATAGAAAGCATGCATATTTGCTGTGTGAGGATCAGAAAGTAAACAGAAAAAAATACTAAGGTCAGTTAAATTACCACTATCCAGAGATAATTGCTGTTAACGTTTTGGCTTATTTTTATATTCCTTTCCCCATTCCACTAAGTCTGTATAAAACATTTATATTAATATGTTTATATGTATTTCCCCAAACATAGACAATAGTATACAAAGTCTCATATAATTCTGGATATCAAAAAATAATTTAGACTATAAGGTAAAAATCTTTCTCTATTAATAAATATTTATTTGTATGACCATTTTTAATGTCTGAATGTATTTCACTGAATTTTCTTCTAATAAAATTTCTTTCTAGAAAATTTGGAAAATAGAAAAATTACTAAGGAACCACCTCATACTCATTAGGATGGCTACTATCCAAAAAAACAAAAACAAAAACAGACAATAACAAGTATTGGCAAGGATGTGGTGGAAATGTAAAATGGCACAGCCACTATGGAAACCATTATGGCGGTTTCTCAAAAGACTAAAAATAGAATTACCTTATGATTCAGCCAACCCACTTCTGGGTATTTATCCAAAAGATTTGAAAACAGAGTTTCAAAGAGATATTTGTATGCCCATGTTCACAGCAGCATTATTCACAGTAGCCAAAAGGTGGAAGCAGCCCAAGTGTATATCAACAGATGAATGCATGAACAAAATGGGGTGTACACTTAGAATGAGATGTTACTCAGCCTTAAGGAAAGAAATTCTGACACATGCTAAGACATAGATGAACCTCGAGGACGTATGGTAAGTAAAATAATCCAGTCACAAAAAGACGAATGCTGTAGGATTCCACTTAGATGAAATATCTAGAGTAGTCAGATCTGTAGAGGTAGAATGCAGAAGGATGGTTGCCCTGGGTTTGGGGGGAGAGAGAAATGGAACACTTTTCAATGGGTATAGAGTTTCAGTTTTGAAAGATGAAAACAGTTCTGGAGATTGGGTATATAACAGCGTTAATGTACTTTTCCTGAACTTTTCACATCTAAGTGGTTAAGATGGCAAATTTTATGTTTATGTGTATTTTTGTCACAAAGATCAAAAATTCTAAGGAAATAAACATTTACTGCACCTATAATATTTAAAGAGTATACAGTTCATTTTTTCTTTCTCCCCATGTGTGTACAGTCCAGGTTTCCAGATTCTACATCTTGTATAACATGTGATATGGGATGTGATTTAAGTCTAATGTTGTCCCTGAGTCCTCAGCTGGGGACACGGGCATCCCCAGAACCCCATAGTTCATGTGAGAGTCACCCTGAGGATGTTAGCATGGTTCTGCTGGGTCCCCATTGCTTCCATTCTTAACCCTAACATGGGGGGCTGTTTGGGTGATGGCCAAACATTGATTTGGTCCTCTTCATTTAGAACCTGAATGTTGCAGCCTTTAAAAAAGTAAAGGGGTTCACACTTTGCAAGGAATTAGAAAGCTTTCTTTCAGGAGAACTAGAGAAAAAAGAAACAAAATTGATGTGATATTGGTACTGTGAAATAAAACTAACTCTACTCCCAGCCCCCATGTTCCTCCGCCCACTAGCAGTTGACATTTAGATTGCTTGCTTTTCTCCTTACATGGGAGTTTGGGCTTCTCTTCCCAAAGAGCTTTATAGAGGCTCTTTGAAGGACAAAGTCACGAGAGCCTTGTTGCTGAAGTTTTAAAATAGGATCAGATCTGACTTTCCCTTTAGGAAGAATTGCTTTAGTTGGAGAAGCTGTAAGGACTATTCTAGATCTGAAAAGACCGTGGCAGCCAGTCACCCTACTTCTTACTCATTGGAATGATAATTTTAGTTAGCAGTTTTGCCCAGAAGTCTTGAAGAGGCAGTTCACTGATAATCTTACCTACATGAAAATGCTAAATACAATTCACATTAAAAGAATGCTTCTTAGGAAAGCACCTCCATAAAGAATGAAGATTTCATAATAGGACAGCAGCAGGCAACCTGTAAAGTTTGTGCAACTTGACATTCTGTGAATCATTAAGATCTCATACGTATAAATCTAACATTGGCTATGTCATTAGATTAAAAAAAATAAACTGTAGGGACTTGTGTCTCTAAGTTTGCAGTTACATTTCTTTTTAAAATGCTGATTAAAATTTTGACTTACTTTTTTTTCTGTCTTACTAAATTTTGCTGATTTGATGACATTCGTCTTTTTTTGTCATCATCACTTAACGGTGATGTATTTTTTTTTTTAAAGATTTTATTTATTTATCTATGAGAGACACAAAGAGATGCAGAGAGAGAGGCAGAGACACAAGCAGAGGGAGAAGCAGGCTCCATGCAGGGAGCCCGATGTGGGACTCTGTCCTGGGACTCCAGGATCACGCTCTGAGCTGAAGGCAGCACTAAACTGCTGAGCCACCTTGGCTGCCCTCTTTTTTCTGTTTTAACCTCAACTTTAAAATAACCTAAAATTTACCTAAGGAAATATTTAAATATTTATGCATCTAGTTGTAAAATAGTTTCCTTCACCCATTGGACAATGTTTTAGTGAGTGCTTACTATATGAGAAACACTGGGCTAGATACCAAGAATATATAAATGAAAGAGACAAACTCTTGTCTGTAAGAAGTTCACAGAGGGGCACCTGGGTGGCTCATTTGGTTAGGTGCTCAACTCTTGGTTTCAGCTTGGGTCGTAATCTCAGGGTCCTGAGATCAAGCCTTGTTTCAGGCTCTGTGCTCAGTGTAGAGTCTGCCTGAGATTCTCTTTCCTCCTTTTCCTCCTCCTTTTCCCCCTGCTCTCTCTCTCTCTCTCTCTCTTTCTCTCTCTCTCTTTCTCAAAGAAAGAGAAATAAATCAATTCATAGTATAATGGGGGAGACACTGATACATTAAAAATAATGTTAAGAAGGGCTAACTCTGTTAATAGAGCCATATATTCTTGTGAGAATTCTCAGTTTGGGGAAAGCAGGGACTTTCTTTTAACTCCTTGCTATATAATGCAATCATTTGTTCAACACATATTTGGGTGCCCAATATATACTAGTTCCTAGCAAGGGGAAATTAGTCAATTCATACTTGTTGATTGAATAAATGAAGAATTGAATCTATTCAAGCCTTGAAAATGGGAGAGGAAGTGGGAGAGAATAGGAAAGATTTCTCAGGGAAGTGGTGCCTGAGCTGAGTCTTGGAGGTATGAGTGGGAATTACACATATGGCTGAGGAGTGGGGATGGCCTAGTCTTAAATATTGCAGGTGAAAGCTTGGGGGCACAGGGACAGTGGGACACTACCAGGAATGGCTGAGTCAGAGGTCCAGGGGAAGGAGCATTGAAGAGTGAAGCAGAAATTGCAGGGCTAAGGTCATGAGTTCTATGAATGTAATCCA